TTTTGTGTCTTGCTACGGCCACCCTGAGCAGACCTTCATGAAGCGGGTCACTTTACTATCACAAAGTATTAGAATTAAGTTTGTGTTGTAGGAATAAGTTTTACACTACACTTTTCTCATGTAAAACTCTTTGGGGGATTTTCAAAGAGCACTCATTTCTTTAAGCAAATAATCTGATTTCATATAATAAACAGTCCTATGACTATCCTGAGAAACGTGAATTATTACTAATAAATTATAGATTCTTTTCTAAATAAAACAACTGAGATTCTCTTTTTTTACTTATGGGAACTGAAGAAAGTAGAAACTGACTTTAAAATCCCTTGAAAATTGACCCATTAATATTTATCACTGCCAACTTCAAAGTGATTTATAAGCTCTTTATCAAGCTTTGATAACCAGTTCACACATCAGTGAATTTAACAAATTCAAAATAAATTACTGGAGAGCCAGCAAATAATGACTTTCCCCCATTCCCAAAGCAATCTCTGAGATCTAGTACTTCCAAGTCTAGTCCTCACTAAATATCTATTTTCACTTTAAAAAGTATTCAGGGAGGTATCAGGCGTATAATACTTCTGGCTGAATTACAGCTGGAGAAAAAGATGTTTAGTTTCCTAAGAAAAATCATAAGTATCCAATACACGTATTTGATAAATGTTTAAAGAAACAAAAAAAAATTTACAAGACAGTATTTTCAATTTCATGATTATTCTGTGGATTACTTAAGAAAAAAATAATAAAGTTAGAAACATCCCAAAAAGGTTGGGGCTAAAAATACAGGTTCTAATGTAAGATGGATTCATGGATGTCTCTACCGGTTTCTAGCTGTGAGTTTGTGCATTTGTTTATTTTATCTCTCTTTCCTCCAGTTTCCCCTTTGGTCAGATAGGGCAGTACAGTAACGATCTAGAATTCTAGTGAGAATAAAATGAACTCGTGCACTTAAAGTCTTATGCATGCTAAGTGTTTGAATCATTATGTTATATATAAATATATCACTGATTTCTGTGGTTTTTTATCTTATTTTAAAATTTTGGATTAATTTGAGGGTATATATAATCAGGTTACTTTGTTTGCTTTGTAAGGTACAATCCAACTTGTAGTTGAGTCCTTCACCCCCAAAGTGTGCCATACACCCCTACATAGTACCTGTAAGGTGGAAACCCAACGAGCCCCCTCCCCCTCCTCCCTTGAATTTAATTGTGTTTTTTTCTCTGATGAGCCTGTAGTTACTAATCTGTTAGTTTCAATTTTAGTATTGAGTACATGGGATGCTTCTTTTTCCATTCTTGAGATACTTTCCGTAGGATAATATTGTTCTCTAAGCAAACACTTCTTTCTTATTATGGAGGCAAAAAAATGTTTTAAACAATTTACTATAAGCAAATAATTGCAAAGATTTTTATTAAATGAGAAAAAACTGGTATTTTCAGAAAATATTATGCTTCTCTAATGTATTTTAATATTAATGGTATAGATAGCTATCATATTAAATCATATACTCATTGTATAAATAAAAACTTAATATTGAGAATCTATATGCTATTAATTACATTTCATATATTACTTATTGTTGTAATTTGACACTTTAACATATCAAAGATATAAGAAGTAGGGTCTGGATTAATTTCAGCGTTTTCAACATGTTCTAAATGGAGCAAATGTTTCCAGGAAACTCAGATGAACATTGATTCCCTATAGTTTTGAAACAAAGAGGTATTTTTGTTAAGTCTATAATGGGATCAGAAGCACAGTTTCCAACAAGGAAGGTTCCATTCTGTTTTTGGAATAGATAATCTGTTTTTTACTTCTTTTACCTGTGCAGTATTTGTAGAAATTTAGTTGGTTGCATTGAAATTACTTTAGAATTACTGTATAATTCAATTCATAAAAGCTATCTAAATTGAGTTTAAGGAAATCATACATGCTAATGAACTTTAATTAGTTGTTAAGAAAACCTACATCTCATTACATCCTCTATACACACCATCTATCTGAATCTTCATAAACTTATAGTAAATCTATTATGTATTTTTAGATGTTTCCACTATACCTTTATATCAAGCTTTAATAGAAAAAAATAAAATAGTAGCCTGGTTCATTTAGGGCAAAGCACTAATTTTGTCCTACTTCTTAATGTGTTATACATTTTCCTAAAATATTACTAGGCATGAAATTTTGCAAAAATAAGGACTGGGGAACAAAAGGTTGGAGCAGAATACTCAAATCTCAGTCTCCCAAGTAACCCAATTAAAGTACATTGCCATTTTAATTTTAGATATCTTAAATGTTAAT